CACCTTTTCTTGTTGGTCAGTTCCTCATCGGAAATAAAACATGGTGGTACGAACTTGTGTCTAGGGATATGTCACTGAGTAGTTCGGTATGTATCCTTTTGTAAGTCTCAATTCATATGAGTAGGTCATAGATTCCATAGTCATGGTCATAGCCAAGTAACTATATGTCACTGCCCACGTCCCTCTTACATTCTAGAGTCTATAAAGTTCGCAATGCGATACACATGTTTCATATGTCCCAATGCAGGTCACATTTTTATATGCATAACAGGTCACATGTAATTGTCACAGACCATTTGAGGTTGGTCACAGATAAAAGTGAATAGGTCACAGTTTACTTACAGAGTGCACTCCAGCATATTTTCTGGTCACATTTCACCCTGCACAATTTAGAAGATGGTGGTACGAAGTTGTGTCTAGGTATGGGTCATTGAGTTGTTCGGTATGTATCTATTTGTAAGTCTCAATTCATATGAGTATGTCATACATTCCATGGTCATGGTCACAGCCAACTACCTATATGTCACTGCCCACATCCTTCTTACATTCAATTTATAAAGTTCGCAATGCCATATGCATGGTTCGTATTTCCCAATCAGGTCACATTTTGGTATGCATAACAGGTCACATGTAATGGTCAAAGATCATTTGCGGTTGGTCACAGATAACGGTGAATAGGTCACAGTCATTTACAGAGTGCACTCAAGCATATTTTCTAGTTACAGTTCACCCTGCACAATTTATATGTCAACTCAATCTCATAGTTTTCCATTTTTTTAGCATATGGATGTATGCTTCTACTACATACATCAGTTAGCAAGTAATGGAAAAAACATCAAAGTCAACGCCACCACGACCGACACATTGTTTCAAGCTAAGCTGAAGAACATGTACCACAAGTTCAAGCAAGATCCAGAGGTAATTATCATGGATGAGAGACTCATTGATGACATCACAGGTGCACAAATTCCACTGAGCAAACTTTGGGTAGAAGTGGACCTTGTGTTCATGCCCATTCTGCGTACAAACAAAGCGCATTGGATGCTTGTACTGCTTGATATCAAAAAGTAGACCTTACTTGTATTAAATTCGGCAAGAAAAACATACAATGACATCAAGGTCCTTAATGGAATTGATCCTTTTGTCAAAATGATCCCTCACCTCAAGGACTGTATTGGAATTTGGAGAAAGGATTCGGATCCATCTGCTGACGATTCCAAGGAGTTGAAGGTGGTGCTTAATTCCTCCATCCCGCAACAGAATAATGGGTAATTTTTGTCACCGAGAATTTAAACATACTGAAATAATATGATTCTATACATAATGGACTGGAATTTTTTTCACTTTGCAGGCATAACTGTGGCATATATGTGATTAAATATGCCTAGTACATGCTTCATGTCAATTTAGGATCGATGCCGATGAAATTTGATGCGGCTGAAGCACGTCTGGATGTTGCATCATTGTTATTCAAGCACCGTGAAGTCGGTACAGAGAGGAAGACGTTGCTGCCAACTGGTGGAGATAGTATAGTTATTGAGTGACATTAGGGGTGTAGTTTGAAAATGCAGTAGAATGGAATGTGAAGTGTGGTTATGGATAATTTTTTTGTTTGCTTTGAACAAGGGTGTTGTGTTCTGGGAATATTCTTTAGTATTTGATTTAAGCAACAATATTTAAGCAATAGTTTGAGTTTTGGATTTCACGTGTCTTGAAATTATGTTTTGAATGTATTATTCAGCTTGAGATATTGCGTCACATAAAAAGTCACCTAACATGGCACAATCAGTATAATATTCTTTGTGCACAACCATAGTTCGCTGCAAAGGTCACAGGCAACTATAAACAAGTCACAGAAGAAGCCACCGACCAAGTCACAGTTTGATGTATATTGTTCATATCACGGACAACTGGAAATAGGTCACAGCAGATGATCGCATGTTCCAAATCCTTATGCACAGTCCTTGCAACGGGTCACAGTACGGGTCACATTTCACATAAAAGGTCACCTAACATGTCACAATAAGTATAATATTCTTCGTGCACAACCATAGTTCACTGCAAAGGTCACAGGCAACTGGAAACAAGTCATAGCAGAGATCACATTTTCCAATTCCTTATGCACAATCTCTTGCCAACGGGTCCCAGTATGAGTTACATGTTAAGTAAGAAGTCACCAAAAATGTCGCAATAAGTATAATATTCTTCGTGCACAACCACAGTTCGTAGCGAAGGTCACAGGTCAATGTTCCAGATTCACATAACATCTAACAGACCACTTTTTACCTGTGACACCCCAAACTCGTTTATTATGAAGTGAATGTAACAATCCCCTCCCCCTCGTGAAAGTTCGCACTGTAATGGTCACAGCACACGTCACAGCATGGGCGGAGCCCTACTAGGTCGAGTGCGGGCAGATGCCCGCATTGAACTCCAGCCCAGAAATTTTTATTTATTTATTTATTTTTGTTAAGCCTGAACTCCACAACCACACAGTCATGTTGAAGAAGCTCTTATTGGACCGCTTTTTCTTGGCTATGTAGAGGTTATCAATACCAGACTTAGGATAAACAGGCCAGATTCAATTCCTTTTCTTTTGTCAAGTTTGGGGAAAAATATATTTGTTAGTTTTGCCGCTAGGGATTTCACCTGATCTGTCTTTGCATTTTCCGGCAGCCTGAACTGGCTAAAGAACTTGCCGCTGCTTCTTTCCATGCGATGTCACTTATCATTCTTTTCCTCTTGCTCATTGCTCCTCTCTCCATTTATCTGGAGCACTCCACCTTCTTCAACCTCCACCTTCACCTCTTCCTTCTTCAGCCCAGGAAGATCGACCTTGAATACATGGGGCTCTGGAGTCTCTTTCCAGTTTATACGAGCATTTGCAAATGCAGAAGTTTCGCGGGCAGAACTTGGGATATTGACTACCAAACTTGAGAAAGGGAAGCCCTCAAAAGGATCCCAAATGTCAAGAGAGAATGGATCGAAAATGTTGCTGCGTCAGTTGCCAAAGAAGCTTGGAATCAGAGACATTTTTTTTATGGATTTCTTAAATCAAAGAACTCTAAATTTTTTGCAATGGCTGAATTCAAATTCTGTGATGTATGTTGCCCAGAGGGGAATGATTTATATAGGAGGACGATGATGATTGATTCTAGCACCATCTCATCGATTGTGAGCAATAATATCCTACAAACCATCTGTCATCATCTTCGACCGAAAAGTATTATAAAAATAATAAATAAAATATATTCTAGAGAAGACAAGTGCACTCTATAAAATTCTAAACTATTACGTTATGAAAGTAATTTGACATCCAATGGGATACAACCACCTGTAGTTTATAGAAACCCAATAAATAAAGTTTGCTCAACTAAACTTTGTAATTCTTTATATCTTCTCTTCCTGCAAAACTAGTAGCAAACTCTTTAATTAGTTTTATAATAATTTTATTTTAACATTACTAACTTTTTCATTTTTAATAACTTGTCTAATTAGTAGTGCATATTGACTTAAAATAATGCTATCTACGTTAGTGTTAGAATACTAATTTATGTGACATCATCTGATTGGTTCAGACCCCGTTCGTTTCTCATTCTTTAGCCAAAAAAATGAAAAATATGACCGTTATCTATCATATCAAACCGCCATATTTAACTTCCTCTCTCTTCTGTGGGTTCCATAACAGTTATATTTTTTATTCTCATTCTTATAAGAATGAGAATCAAACGGTGGCTCAATAAAAAATAAAATTGTGGGATTCATTTAATTGTATTTTTCATTTAGAGTCCGTATGATAGTGCCCAATTTCTTAGAAAATGTCACATTCGAGAATTTTTTTTCTACTTTGATTGTTTGATACGAAAGTCGAATTAGAGTTCGAATTCTAAGGTACAAACACTTAAAGCATGTTTTTGATTGATTCCATGGAAATCGAATTCTCATGATTTTGGTAATTTTTTTTCCAGCTTAAATGAAATTGGTTTACTTTTTTCACATTTGCAATCAATCGGACCCTTAGTGATACTTAGCGCCACCAAAAATAGTATTTTAACATCAATGGTACTAAATAGCATTATTCATTGAGTTATCATGTCTGGTATTGAACTTATCAACATGTTCACTATGCATTATGTATTTTTCTTCATCTTGAATATTATTAATAATCAAACTCAAGTACCTAGTGCAATATCTCTTAAGTTTCGGAGACAACACATTGTGACCATTATCAAGCGTTTACATGAAATGGAATTAATCCCATATAACTAGTGAGAGGATAAAAGCTTCACAATACTGATGTGGTACGAAAATCTCAAAATTTTTATCTTGCTCGCTGAGGCAGGAGATCAAGATTGTTATATGAAAACAAGAAAACTATAGATCATTATATTTCGGGGAAAAAATAAAATAAAATAATTCAAGATTATACCTTGAAGAGTTTTACTATCCAATTTTGACAAAGTTGAAGAACTCCCAATTTTCAACTCCACTGATCCTTGTGACACCAATTGGCCACTATTCAACCTCAGAGCGAAAATGCGCCCGACTAGCCATTGTTGTCGACAACCGAAATGGCGGTGCTATCAACGAATCTAACTTCTTCGGTGCAACCAAAAACTTCTTCCGTGAAATGTGAAATTGGAGTATTTTTTTATCATCACAAAATCCATGACCTAAAACCTTAACGGTCGGCATCGAAAAAAGTTGCCCGCACTGAACTCAAATCCTGGCTCCGCCCCTGCGTCACAGGTTCTTTTAGGGTATACCCAATTTCCACTTGTCACGTTTGCTTGTATTTAAAAATATGTTCATGTGGAAAGAACATTACAAGTACAATAGTAAAACATCCATATTATAAGGTTTGAACTTGGAAATGTTGTTATTAAATAAATATTTGTGTCCTCTAACAAATTGTGTCTGATATTACGTTCAAACAATGAATGGAAAAGTAAACCAACTGTCTTAACGGAGCCAAACTGTTGCAAGTTCTATGATATGTATCATCTGTTGACTTTCTTATCTTTTCTTTGTTTTTTTGATTGAATCTGACTTAATGGAACCAAACTGCTACAAATTCTGCGATTGTGACCACTTTCACCGCAACAACCGCATTTGACAGTTATGTTATCTTCAACTGCAGATCTAAACCTCTTCTCAGTAGGCCTTCCGCAACTTTGCTTTTGATTAGGTGGTAACACGACTATGTTCTCAAAGTCTTTGGGCATTATCCATTCATTTGGATTTCCTACAGGGAAAACAGTTTCGTTGTAAGTATTCTTGTATGCTTCTCTCGTGTAATAATATGAACAAAACTCATATGGATCCATCTTCACACTTGCAATCACAACCACAGCATGTGGACATGGTAGTTGATCAACTTGAAGCATCCTACACGTGCGTGTATGTCCTTCTATATCAACAACAAAAGTTAAATTTTCATAGTTGGCTGAGAACATTGCCTGATTAATACGCGCAACCACAACAAAAAAATAATATAACAAATGTCACTAAGAAATTGGCTACAACGAACAAGTTACAGGTCACAGATAACATTTCAAGCACAAATGTTGACATTACCCTCAAGTTTCTCATATCCGTGCTCATTTCCCTCATTTGCTTCTCATACTTGCTTGACAAGGTTGTGAAAGTCGCTTGCGCAGATTCTCGATGTCTACAAAACCACGACTGTATGGTTTGTCGCAATGACTCCAACAAAGCTACAATGGGATAGTTCTTGACAGATTCTGTGACTGCATTAATCGACTCTACTATATTCGATGTCATTGTAGAATATCGATTCGTTGGCATGTGGAATCGTGACCATTTAGAGGGCCCGACACTGTCCTACAAACATAAACATGATTATCTGTTAATGATATATTTCACAATACTGTAATAAATGTATGCACAAGGATATAATTTGATGGTAATATGTAATATATTACCAGGTAACCCCTTATCTTTCCATTAATCGTGTCAAGCTGTTGCATGTTATATTCGTATTCTGACAACGTATAGGCACGAACAGCTAAATTAAATGTTTGCGTTATATTTTTACCCGATTTTCCATAACGTGACTTTAGATTTTGAAGAAGATGATATGAACAAATTCCATGACATGTTCCTGGATACACCTTCTTAATAGCATTTTTGATGCTATTATGGCGATCCGATACGAAGCACAACCCTTCTCTATAGCCATACGCATTCCTCAAATTTTTGAAGAACCATGTCCACGAGGCATCATTCTCACTATCCCTAATCCCAAAAGCAAGTATGTATATGCTATTATTTGCATCTTGTGTACATGCTGTAAATAACGTCCCACCATAGTGTCCACTTAAGTACGTGCCATCAACCACAACAACTGGCCTACAATGTCCCCAACCTCGAATTGATGCGACTAGCGCCATGAAGCAATATTTGAACCTACTGTGACCATCAAGCTCCAGATCTGTGACCGTTCCAGGATTTGTATGTTGCAACATGGCAAAGAATCTTAGTATATTATTAAAAGAATCAGCTGGATCACCCCTAATCAGTTTCAAAGTTTCCTCCCGAGACCTCCACGCTTTCACATAATTCAACGATACTCCATACGTATGCAACACGTCATTACATATATCATTCGGGGTATACAGAGTGCGTGACGATGTGTACTTGTATTTTGTGCAGTGCGATACAAGTTCTTTTATTGCTTGCCTATGAGAACCAAGTACAATGTTAGAAGCACATCTGTGACCTTCTACAATATGCCTAATTTTAAACAAGTCCGTTCTAGCCATCCTAGATGCTCTACAGATCCAATCACACTCGTCATCTAAACACTTGACAAGATAGTCCTTCTTATCTAACCGAACAACCACATATTTAAACATGTTTTGGATCGTATAAAGGGACAAGCTCAGCTTCATGATTTTTTTGTTACGAAAAACCCTCCCCATCTCCACGTCCCTAGCGTTGGCGACCGATACAACCGTGACCTCATGCTCATAGTTGTCACACAACGATTCTATTATCGCCCCGCATATATCTAATGACATATCTATCAATGAAAATTTTGGTCCACTGGGTTCCACACCAAATGGTAACATTGCACTGTTTTGTTGGCTATCTTCTTCCGTGACCTCAATGAAGATTGGATATTTGGATGGGTCACGTTCCATATCTTTCAACGCCATGTATGACAGCACATTATTGTCATTCTTGATCACAATTGGAGGCAGTTCACTTTTCAAAACATACTTCATTGTGACTGCCACGTCAGTGGGATCCAATCCAATCTCAGCCATAACTGTATCCACCAGTTGCATGTACCCGCAATTACGATCGATTAAGACCAACGAAGGCTCTGAGCCATTCAATAGGCAAACATGTATGTATCCCATTTCTGCAACATCAACTAGAATAATGTCAATTACAAAACAAGGTATAGGTCACAACTAATGAATAACACAGTTTATGACACGGAGTAACATTTTGCGTGTAACAGCAAATTTGTCACAGTTTCATTGCAAATTGGAATAGGTCATGGCATCATGTCACATATGTGTCAAAGTTTCAAATGGAGCACAATACGATTATTACAACAAATATGTAAAAGTTTCAAATGCAAATGGAGATCAGGTCAGAGCATCAAGTCACAGATATTGAAAAGGAGTCTCAATATGTAGACGAGAGGAAATGCGTCACCAATTATAATGCAATTAAGATCACAGTCATAATTCACATATAACAGGGATTCCGCCGCAGTGGTTATCAGGCAGCAAGCGGATTTTGAGATTAATTGATTTTCAATGACATACCCGATGAAAACCGAAACCCCTGAATACGACGACTGCTGCTGAATTGGATGCCGTTCGGACGAATCCGTTGACTAATTTGCTGTTAAGCGATCGTCTTTCCCCAACTAGGACTTGGATTATGCGATTGACGTCAATCAAAGGAATTCCGTCAACCAAAAAAAAAGCAAATTCAATTTTTTTGTCGTCGGATTGGAAATGAAACATTTTATTTTAGGGATGTGAATCTATTATGATACAGACTGGCGTTAATGGAGATACGTGCGTTGATGGAGATATGTTCCTAGTTTTTAGGAAACTGATTTGGAAAGAGATTTTGACATACAGTTATTTATGAAATCTGATTTCAGAAACTGTAAACATGTTAGCTTATTTTTGAATTGGGCCATATTTACTACTGGTAATACGAATTTTTCCCTATATAAAATGAAGCAATCAGTAAAGCCCGAGCCACTCAAGCTATTCCAAGTCCTCCAAAAGGGGACCTCGAAGTTTCTAACATTAACACCAGTCTTCTAAAAATAACATCAGATGGTGGATTTCTAGACATGTCACCTGTAACTCGAAATGCGGGTATGTTCTTTATTTTCCTTTGTCTATCTCTCTCTCTCTTTTGAGACCATCCTTCATTTTTTGTAGGTTTTCCAAATATTCCTAAAGGATGAATCCAAGCTTTTAACAAGATTAGACTGGTAGGAATGATGGGAAAATCGATGCACTTCAAGGAATAGAAGGTACTCATGATTTTCGCGTGCCTCCTTGCAAAATACCTTTCACCATTAATGAATGTACTTTTGCGCTTAATGTAGATAATTTCAATAATGAAGATGAAACGAATTTTGAACTATGAGAGCTAACATTTCATAGACCAATCAAGAATCTCAGTTGTTCTATCTTCATTAGCTTTAGTTAACATTCATTCTTCAGAGACAAACAATCATGGGGTTGCGCTAATTTGTTCTGTCATGTTTGGTTGTCTACCTGGAATAACTCAAGGGTCCCCTTACTTGAAGGCTGCTCTCCAAGAAGCCAGAACTAATTATCTTTAGAACTATTTTAGGGATGTTTTGAAGAATGGATTTTCCAACATCCGGTCTTGGTGGGATGAAATAATTTAATTTTTAAAATATAATTACCAGCTCATTTCGTATAAATCCAACACCTTTGATGAAACGTATGGATGTATTTCTTAAAGACATTAACCTTTATTTATTTGAAATAAAGAAACATTTGGAGTGTCCAACCGCTGAAGAGAAGGTTGAGCAGTTGAAACTTTAAATATTCAACTGGAAGTCGAGGATTCTACTTGTTTTTTATTGGAAGATAAAATTAGTCAACTACCTTCTAAGCTGGACAGACTCCGCGATGAGTTTCAAGTCTTTCAGGAATAAAGAATATGTTTGGAATTGTGAAGGCCTCATTAGAAGAATCACAGACAAGAGATACCACTAGCATAATATCCATTGACTAGAAAAGAAAAATCCTTGAAAATAGTTTCTTGCAAGTAATTAATGGAGAGTGATCTTGGTCAAGTTGGGATTTTCTGATTTTCTTTAGGACCATATTCATCTTTTTTTGATTATGAACTTTTCTTCTTCATTTTCATGTGTATTTTTATTCCAGAAAATGGTAAACAAATCAAATAAACTTATTAGTTATGACTGAATTTCGGGGCTTGGATATGCACTTCGAGACTTGGACATGAATTCGATTTGAAGAAGACTTTAATTTTTTTGTACCTGACTTGAACTTGCATGATTTGACTTTAAGATCTAGGCTTAAATTGATTGAGTGGTCCTAAAAAAATGCATAAATAGTTTTAAGTTGTTTATGTTGCCTCTTACTTTCGTATTTATTGTGAAAACAATATGTCCAAAATTAATTTCATTACTTGGGTCATATCATAAGGTGCTGAGACATACACATGTAGAAAATGCATATCGCTTAATTATTTGCTAGTTGCTAGCACCAAAGTTTCCAATTTTGCACTTTTTAGAGTTCGACAAGACAAGAAGCCTTTCAAAGAGACAAACCCAATAATTCCAAAATATGGCATTTTAATTCATGACCATAATTTATTTATATTCCAGTCACGTTCTCTTTTGATTTTCAATTTTAATTCTCCTCGAATTTATTTGTAGTTTTGTTTTTCTAAAATTAAATCATATTTGAAAAATAAATAATTTATTAAATGGAAAAGTAAATGGAAATATTTTAACTCCCACCAACGTTCCCGTTCCATTGCCATCTTTAATGGAAAGAGACCGCTTGCTATATAGTTATCCAAATTTTACCATTTTCATAACAATTAATGAAGTAATTGAATTAGAAGTCGCCATAAAAATATGAATTTTAACGTTTAAATAGACCTTTAAAGAAAGGCCAATGAATTGTAAATTTTAAATTTCCACCTCACAAATAATTCAGTTTGTGATGAAATAAAGTGATAAAATTCAATTTTTCCTGCAAAGCATTAGTTTAAGAATGCACATTTTCTTGTGAGATCGGTACGTTTATCATCCATTTTCACTAAAAGAATAAGAAGGAATATAATCCGTACAAGATATTCAACTTTAGGCTAAACTATATACAACACTGTAACATATAAGGATTTGAACAACTCTTCTTAATAAAGTTAACATTTTAAGATGGAATTTGAAGTCTTATTATAGTATCAAAACCCATTAAATTTCAACGAACAATTCGATTCGATTAAGAATCAGAAAATGAGCATGCGAATTTCGAGATTGGTTTACTTGAAATGAGCCACAATCTTGTTGGATCATATTAAGGATAAATCATACCTTGATTCAAGAAGAAAATTCTTTATTAAAATTTCGAAGACGAGAACAAAAGACAAACAAATGTATATAGGCTTTTATGGGTTTGCTTGGACGATTCCTTTTAATAAGGCTAATCTTTAAAGACGGAACTCCAATTCAGAATAACAATACCAGAACTTGTGGACTAGTCAGATGTGTGGTACTTCAATAGGACCATGGATAAACAAGAGGGGGGTTTTAATCTCTAAGTACAAATAAAGTAGAAACGGTACAAAATGAGTATGTCGATAAATTCTTTGGTGATGGGGATGGATAGTCGTTTGTGTCAGCTTCTTTTTCCTCTTCATGAATTGTTTCCAACATCTTTGATGCTGGGTGCCTCGTGATGTTCACAAACTGTGGTGGTGCTACTTCGATTATAAATCTAGCAATTCGAGCATTCGCCATTTTTTCTTCAAATGTTAAGATACTAGTAATGTGAAAAAGGGCTAAAGTATATGAGGAGAGATTTGTTGAGATTGAGATGGTCTGGTCGAAATTTATAGGGGAATGCTTTGCTATATTTCCAATAACTCGATGATATTACAGCATTATGTGCAGTCTTAAATTGAGTGAGTGGTCCTAATCAAATGTTTAAATGATTTTAGGCTGCTTGTGCCGCCTCTTACTTTACGTATTTATTGTGAAAACAATATGTCGAAATTTAATTTCTTTACTGGGGTCATAAGGTGCTATGTGTATATGTATGTGTAGAAAATGCATATGCCTTTGAATATTTGCTTTTTGTTGGTAACGTTTGCTCTTTCCTGAAATTGACAGGAAGATGCCTATTAATGCCATCTTTCAGTAGATGATTGTCATGGAAAGGGTCTCCCGTAAGAGTTGGAAGGTGTCGTGTAGAATTATGTGGAACGATTACGTCATTAATCTCAAATTTATTGGGAACAATGGTTGATTTGTTGTCGTCTTGTATATACTATGTGTTTAGAAGTCGATAATCCATATATTTCTTAGCCCTTAATTTCGGTACTTAATTTTTTTTTGATTAATACCTTCTCAGCTTGAAAGGACAACCTAAGAAGACCTTATTTGGGGAAATTAAAAAAACAAAAAACAAAAAAAACAATAAAATAACTAGAAGGTAAAGTACAATGTACGATCAACTAACCAAACAACCAAGAAGTTCAGTATGTTATAAATATTGTTGAACACTTCATCTAAAAGGTTTAAATTGTTAGAAAATCGACACGTTTATTTAGTTAGATTCAGTTTTTAACACGATTCAACAAGTACATATCAAAATTGTTTTCATGTATACTTCTCGTACATGAATAATTGCAAAACTTAAACTCAAAACATACGTCTACTCTTATGTCTTCTCTAATACCATTTTGAACTACATAATTTAAATACTAACCCCGAACTTATTTAAGGACAACATGCATGTTGGAAATATGTAATGTTTGATATAAATTCGTTTCACGTTTCTTTTTAGCTTATCCAAAAGCTAAGTTTTGTCACTTATTTCGTCTCCCCCACAGAACCTTTCTATCACTTCTGCCGTTGCGTCTCTATCTAATATCCTTTTATCCATGGCAAGTCATATCTTTGGGGCAATTTGCGTCATAGCTTAGCAAAATGTGCAATGCAGATAGATGAACAAGATTAATAATAATTTGTTTTAAAATTTTTATCTACTTTCGGGGATGGACCCAGAAAATTTTTCAGTGCGGACGATATTAGTGAAGGTCTAAAAACAATGACATTATAATTTAAAGCACAAACATAATACTAAAACTAAAAAAACCCTAACAATTGTTCTTTACGAATTTTTATATTTTCATATTTTTGTACAATATAGACTAATGGCTTCCCGTGGAAAGCACCCATAAAATTATATTCTCTTTTCAACTTCCTAAAACCCACTATTCTAAAAGGTGCGCATTAGGGACGCCTAGGCATTGCCAATACTCGATACGTGGCGGAAAAGTCAAACTAAATGGCTTGACGCATTATTTAGCAATCAACAACAATCGTTGTGTGCTAATACACGTCTGGGCGCGCATAATTGTCTCTTTTTTTTTTTTTTTTTTTTTATTTTTTATTGTCTCTTTTTTTTTTTTTTTTTTTTAATTTTTAACTTTTAGTTAATTAATTAATTTATTTAAAATTCTTCTAAGTTAAGTCTTAAATGCTGATTTCTTGACTTCGTCGGTTCAAAATTCAAAATGGTCGTTTGAAGCCTTGAAAAAAGAATATCTCCCAAATATTCTTTTTTATTTACTATTTAATAGTTACATTTGGAGCTTATCTTTTTATTGAAAACTTTGAAAAAATGTATGAATTTCTTATAAATTTGTTTTAGATATTTGGCAGGTATTATTTTTAATTATTAAACGATTTTTCGATTGATTAAGAACTAAAATAATATTAAAATAAGAAACCGCTTTTTTGCGTCTATACCTCGCCTAGCCCAGAACTTGACTTTCACGTATCACCATGTATTACACCTTTTAAAACACTACTAAAAACCTTTATTGGATCGCTCTCATTTTCCTCCAAAAATCTCATCCTCTTTCGAGTCTCACCCTCAATATCCTCTTCCCCACCGTCACATTCCATACAGACCGTAGTTTGTAATCAGAGCTTCCAAATAGCATTACTAAAGTTAAGAGACGAGAGTGATAATCGGTTCTTAATTGGACTTCAGCATTGACATTTGAGCACGTGTCCAAAAAACAGAGGTATAAACATGAATAAGATCAAAAGTTCAGAAATTCCATCTTCATTTCTTAAATTAGAAAGACATTTTAAGTATATGAGTCATGCGGAGAAAAATACAAGTTCGGCCATTAAGGAAAAAAGAAGAGGTTAAAACAATACCAATACAATCAGGAACAAATGCAGGAGACTGGACTGGGCTGTAGTCCCTCCAAGGCTCAAGATGTTTCCTTTAAGTTTGTGCATGCGAGGCAAGTTCTACTAGTAACTCACTCGTAAGGTTAAGAAGATGGTTATCTATGAGTGAGTAAACCGAACTGTTTTGGAACTTGACATGGCAAATATTAGTTGAGCCAGCAGTGTTTGTGAAAGGCTCATTCACCTGTTTGTGACCAAAACGATGAAATTGCCAACAATTGAATAGTCAACCTTTCGAAGATAAAAATATACAATCCCAGACATGCATAGAAGATTAGCCAAAATCAATAAGGCAATGTAGCCTAGATGTCAGGAAATGAAAATCTTGAATGAGAAATTAGAACTTTATGGACTCTCTTCTCCTATGAAGCGCGAACATGATGACACGTAATTGAAAATGAAGATCTCACCATCGGTCGAAATCTCTTTCCTTCTACTCCCATCTTGAAGAAGTACTCTGCAGCAGTGGCGAGCTTTGGGACCTACAAGATTGAAGAGGAGCTATTATACTATCACTACAATTCAGTTGTCAGCCAAAGAAAGAGGACGTGAAAATCGAATACCTCTGCAATTACCATGGACCTTAGATTATTCGCAAGAATTGACTTTCATCGGCAACTGGAGAAAATGGATCTAATCGCTTCTGAGACAGAAATTGAACGGTAAAACAACAATGTCTCTGTTCCATGGATTTTAGAACCAATAAAGCACAGCTAAACTATCTGGAATAAAATCTGAAAAATGAGTTAACTAGATGTTTAGAAACATAGCTTCATTACTGTACAAAACCAATATTTTATAAAGGACTTGAGCACAAGGATTCGATTATCAAAGGTAAGCACCATGATTCAACATTGAGCTAACCTCAATTACAGAACTACTTTGATCATGAGCTTGTTGTCCCACACCACTTAGAGCACTTGAAACCAAAGAATGAATTGCTCTGAAACGCCAAACCTACTAATCATGGGCAGCAACGAGAAATACCATATAAACAATCAGAAAATTTAAAAATTACATACAAAATCCCACCAATTCAAGTACATCAGGAAAATGGACTTAAAGTTACTAGTCCTAAAAAATGCTATGACAGTAAGATGAGCATATTAGAGTAGAATCATGGTTCTCAGGACTTGAGACGAAAGACAAAGGCAGTACATGGATTGGACAACTGGAGATGCATGTGAATATTCGTGACATGTAACCTTCAACGTGTTTGACTGCCGTCACAAGTAGTAACCAATTTTATTAAACACTCCAGCGCTGCTGATGAATTGACAAACAAAGTTCCTTTAATTCATCCCTTCCAACAAATAACAAGACAAGTCACGTCTTTTATGACCTGGAACATTTTACCATTTCTTGATACTTGGTACCCTATTGTCAACATATAGCCCTGATATGTAACCTAATGCAGACCACCCGAAGCAATCGGCAAGCTTTGCAATTCCCATAACCCTGTTTTATTAAATCACCAAGCTCCGAATATTAATAGTCTAGATTCTAGAACAAGAGAAACACAGTATAGGGTCCTAAAAACGTGTGGATGAAGAAAGAGCAAACTTGAATAACTTGTAAATGATCCTCCGCTATAAATCTCCAAATTAGAGTATTATAACTGTCTAGTTATACAAATTTAATGCCAATATTACCTTTTAATAATTTTACTTACATATGGACTTTCGGGTTAAAAAATTTAATAATGACAACAAAGATTTCAGCTTTAAACCATGGCTCTTCAGTCCGTAACCCAGTTATTACAATTTACAAATTAACTTCAACGACCAACTCTCATCAATAGCAACCCTAAAATGTGTGACACTAATATCAACAAATAAAAATCAATGAACGAGTTGATTCACCTCCTCAGAAGAGCGCAAGGGGAAGAGAAATTGGTTGTCATGCTGGACCAATTGCTGCTCGTTATTACGTAAAGAAGAGAACGCCCATTGACGCCGGCAGTAACATGTCCTCGATATACGGGACACTCCCCTTGTAAATAACATCTCCTACATCGACAGTATCACCGAAACAATCAGCGAGATTAGTGCGTTGTGTGTGTGATTTGGGGAGGTCAATGAAGAAAACCAGAAATTGAAGGGATTCAGATTAGTTACTGAAGATGATAGCCGCCAATAATGTTCTGAAGAGTCTACCCAAAAATGGCCATATAAACGGCAAGACGATTCACGCAGATTGGGTAGGCCATGCGATTTGGCCGTGGAAGACCTAGTCGAAGACTTGAACTTCTTTGCTGTGACATTCATTTCCCAACATTTTATTATTATGTATGTACTCCCTATTTGACTCAGCTAAAAAAGTTAATTAAAATTTAAGTCAATATCGATATTGAATTTTAATTACACAGTTTACATGATTCATTACTTTTCAATAACACATTTTCCCCAGTTTGTACCAAAATCTATTAAAAATTTAATTTTATTTAAACTTAATAGGGACATAATGTTTCAATTCGAAGGAAAACGTCTAAATAGACAATAAAAATTACGGGATCAATTATGCTACAAGTATAGAAAAATTTGACAGACAACACATGACGAGATTGATTGGAAGACGAAAAGAGAAAAAAGAAAACAATTCAATTATCTATGACCACGTCAGCGTCGATAGGAATTGCATCAAGAATTTCTTGCACTCACGACTTTTTCCTTACGTGATAGTAGCAATTCACGACAAAGTAGTATTTGAAGTTAATGGGGATTATTTTTGCACAATTATAATCGTCAACAATTTATTGTGTGCCTATAGAGTGGCACTTTACCGTCTATTTAGATGTTTTGCATCGAGTGGGACGTTGTACGCATGATTTTAAGAGCTTGTGGTTCCCTATAGGAATTTATCCTGAATTTTGAAATATTTGTACTTTCAATTTCTTTTCACCTTCAGAAGAATGATGATATCCAAATCAATGGTACTAACTTAAATTAATTAATTATTTAATATCATTTAGTTGCCATCTCATTAGCACCGATGGCTATGAAAAGCAAATGTGAAATCGAAATAGGGATAAAAGTTAGAATTCTTTATTGTTGTGAGATTGAAAATGAATTCCAATGATGGGAAATGATGCTGAATAAAAGTTATATAACATGCAAAAGGTAGAATTCGGTGCAATTTACATGTGAAAATATGTACAGTAATTCGTCCATTTACTTGAGTTGGTATTGTCCAGTTGGCACAACATAATTGGATGGAGGGAAGTGTCCCAGATTGTACCACCTGAGACTTAAACTTGTCCATTGGTTTTGATCCTAAGGTCTTGATTTATTCTCCTAATTTATTTTGGTTTTTGGCTTAAGAACTATCTTCTTGTGTTCTGAACATGGAGATGGTAATTAGGGTAAACAGTGTTTTTCCCCGACTGTTTATGGGTGCCGAGTGGATTTAGGGATTGCTTGGGTGCAATAGGTGATATTGCTGGAAATTATACAGCAACGGAGACAAAAGAAGGAGAAGATGAAAAATGATCAAAGGTTGATGTGATATTCAAAGAAGACATGAACATCCTCAAACTATATTTGCCTCCTATCACTGTGCTTTTAAAGATTGAAATAACAAATAATTTGTAGGGTTTATCAAGCATCAATGAAGAGCACCAAAAGTAAAGTAATTCTTCAAATGAACAAGTGAAAACTAATGTTTTGAATATGTAAAGGATCAATATTTTGTTCAATATTTGGATGAATAGTAGAATGTTTTTCGTTGTGTTTAGGGATAAATACTATCATGTGTATTTAATTTTCAATCATTCCTTACACGAAATGGTTCCATCTCACCAAGAAAAAGTGCATTGACTCACCAACATACCACCAAAAAATTCAAAAGAAATCCAAGCAAAAGCTAGATTTTAAAGCCATGCGGCTGCATGGCTATAACGTTGGCTGCCACATCTGGTTCTCAAGGCCACATGCGATCATAAGCCTCAAAGGCCTATATGGTCGCATAAGCCATATACATGACATGATTTTTCCCATTTCTTAATTCATCCAAACGGGTTTTGAACAGCAAGATTACAACAATCTCTGACTTGTTCAAAATCAATATTAATCTTGAATTTAACCATAGTATAAATCAAAAGATTTCTATACTGATAAAAAGTTTTGAACTAGTTATTCCTTTTGACAATACTGATGAAATCACAAACACAAGTGTTATATTTTCACAAGTTCCTTTAATTCGCTTAGTGCTAATATGACTTTGCAATTATCCTTTTTCATTGAACTTTTAAAGTGAGAAACTCTAACTCTCTAATAAGATGATACCACCTTGAAGTTCACATATGTGAAGTTCTTCCAGTATCTTTATTAGTTTTAGAGATACTTGTATCCCGTACTGAATTTTATTAAGAATTTTATAACTCATTCCTTCAACTGTAACAACCAACATTATTTATCAAGGATGGGGTTTAATAATTTAATAGTGTTGAAATCTATCTACCTATCGAATGATTTGTAATTACCTTTTGAACCAAAATATACTTGCTTAGTATACTTTTGGTAGGGTTGCTATCATTGGTAGATTTAATTAAAGAGTTTCAACCCCATCCCACCTGATGTTGATCTTACTCACTCTTTTGTAAAATGTTTAGTCAATCGATCAGCTAAGTTTTCACTAGACTTAACATGTGTAAGAGAAATTATTTCATGCTTGATTAATTTTCTCACATACCCAAGTCTTAGACTTTCCATTATATGCTTAGCTATATCCGAGCTAGAGTAGCTTGACTATCATACAAGAAAGTTATTGAAGAAATATCATTTATATCTAAAAGGTATTTCATATAACAGATCTCTTAGCCACTCAACTTCTTTTCTAGTATCGGTTAATGCTACAAACTCTGACTCCATTGTTGAGTGAGTAATGCATGTTTGTTTCTTAGACTTCCAAGAAACTGCACCTCTTCTAAGAATAAATGCCAAACATGAAGTAGACTTGTTTTCTCCAACACTCGATATCCAACTAGCGTCAATATACCCTTCTAAAATAATAGTAAACTTTGTATATTGTAGTCCAAAATTTTTTGTTTTCTTTAAGTAACTAAAAGCCCTATTGATGGCCTTCCAATGTTCGAAACTTAGATTTCTAGTAAACCTACTTAGTTTACTCATAGCAAATGCAACATCGAGTCTTGTACATGGTGCAGCGTACATAAGACATCCAATTACACTTGCATATTCTATTTGAACTATTGCTCTTCCATCATTTTTTATGAACTTGATACTCAAATCCAAAGAGGTATTAGTCTCTTTAACGTTCAAGTGTTTGAACTTATTTATCATACTTTCAATATAATGTGATTGACTCAATGTAAAATCCCACTATCTTTTTTAACTTTGATACCGAGGATAGTATCCATTTGTCCAAGATATTTTATTTTGAACATGCTAATGATCAATATATAGACATATTGATGTAATTATGCTATCATTTTTTTTAGTATACAGACATTTGTCTATCGAAATATGATTAAAACCATTCGATATTATTTTAGAGTCAAATTTCTCATGCCACATTTTAGGGGCTTGTTTTAATCAATATTAGGACTTGATTAGTTTGCATGCCTTATGTTCATTTTCTGGTAGAGCAAACCCTTTTGGTTGTTCCGTAGAGACCTCATCTTCGAGATCTATATTTAAGAATGCTATCTTGACATCCATTTGATGAACATGCGAATCATAAATTGATGCTAGTGCAAATAAGATCCTTATTGAGGTTATTCTAGCCATGGTGCATCTGTATCAAAGTAAGTTATTCAGTGTCGATACCCTTTAACTCGACACCCTTTAACTACTAATCTACCTTGATGGGTATTAAGCATTCATTCGGAATTATATTTCTTTCTAAACACCAATTTACAACCAATGAATTTAGAATCCTTTGTTAAATCAACTATTTTCCAAGTGTTATTTGATATAATAGAATCAATTTTCATCATTTATTACCTCTATCCAAAATATACAATCTTCAGAAGACATTGCCTCCTTATAGATTTTAGGATAACTTTCACTTGAAGAACAAAAGAAATTATTCTTACGATATCCTTCCTATCTCCCTCTATTAGTAGAAAGAAATAAGTTGTGGATCCATTTCATCCGATCCTAGATCTTTTCTTTTCTAGTTCTTTTGTTTCTTCGATGTTCACTTTCAACATCTTTTATAGACGTCTCTTCTTGTGATTCTCTAAAATTCAGAATATCTTCATTATTTTTATTTTGAGAATTTTTTGCTATAATACATTCTCAAAAAACTCCTAGATCTTTTCTATTCTAGTTATCTAGGCCTTGCTATTTAGAGCATATCCCACAAAGACAAATTTGATACCTCTAGGACTTAATTTAATTCTTTTGGAATCTGTGTTCTTACAATAAGAAAGACACCCTCATACTTTGAAATAATTAATATGTGGTTTCTTTCATTTCCATGTTTCATGTGGAGAGATCTTATTCTTTTTCAAATGAATCCTATTTACTAAATGACAACTACTAAGTAAAGCTTCACCCTATAAGTTGAATAGTAATTAAGAATTTAATAACAAAGCATCTATCATTTATAAGAATTTTTATTCGTTCTTTCAGCTATACCATTTTGTTTTGTGCTCGTGGTGCAAAATATTGATGTATTATTCCATTTTGTTCACAAAATATATTGCATTCATTAGAGAAGTATTCTCTACTTCTATCATTTCTTAGAGTTTTTAGTTTTCTTCCTAATTGATTTTCAACTTTAACTTTATATGTTTTGAAGGCACTGAAGACTTCATCTTTATGCTTTAACAAATATAAATAAGTTTACCTAGAGCAATCATCAATGAAAGCAACAAAATATCTACTAGAGCCTCTTGTTAGCATGCCATTTAATTTATATTTATTGGAGTGAACAAGTTTAAGTAAGTTTTTTGATCTTACTACACCATGAAAAAGGCTTTTCAATCATCTTTGATTTAATACATGTTTCACATTTTTCTAAGTTATCAACTTCACATTGTATTAATCCACATTTAACAATTCTTTTCATAGTGCTAACTCCTATGTGTGCTAATCTACTATGCCATAAAATAAATGAATCAATAACAAAAGTAAAATATTTGATTTTATTAGAATCATTTTCAAGAGTACAAAGTTTGACCATTCTTCAGTACAATAATCCGTTCCAACAAAATACCTATTATGGGTAGTACAAGTTTTCGAGACTCAAAAATAGATTTAATTCCTGATTTTCCTAATAGAACTCAACT